TCAATGAAATATTGCTTTATTCACAAATAAAAATTAATATTTTTAATTTTTTAATAAGACATATAAATTTTTTAGCAAATCTACATTAATTATTTTATGAACTTATTAAAACATTCTGGGGGAAATCAATCATAAAAAAGTAACAGAAAAGTTACCTCACAAGTTTTCGTACGCTTTCAAAAATTTGAACATATTAGTAAACATTGTAGTATTTCTCTCAGTTAGTATTTTATAGTATATACTACAGTATTTATGACAGTTTACAAACGTCTGGGTATACAGTTCCCCAGTTTTTTTTAACATCTGCATGAATGTTCCTCCGTTCTTCCATCATTACTCTATTTAGTTCTGTTTTTGTTTTAATATTGTGCCTTCGTACTCTAATCTCTAATTTTCTCCAAACGTGTTCTGTTGGTTTAACTCTGATGACTAAAGTGGTGTTTTTAAAACTTAAAGACAATTACAGACACCCAAAAGGCGAACGTTGAGGGCTGTGTGCTTAAAATCGTTATCCCGATAAAAAATAAAAATGTCTCCAGTATCCAAATTTTGGGCGGATAATTTTAAATTATCTTTTAAAATATTAAAATAAAGAAATGGTTCATTGTGCCATTAATAAATACTAAATTTTTTAATCCTGATGATGACACGCACCTTCACATCCACCTCCACCGCCCACGCAATAGCACCTCCACCGATATGCTTTACTGTACCAACCAAGGTCTTGGGATTAAGCTCCCCATTTTTTTCCCTCCATACAATTATGCAACCATCGGAATTAAAAATATTAGATTTGCTTTCTTCTGCAAATAAGACATGATTCTAATACTCTTTGGGCTTATTTACCATTTAGTTTGAGAAAAAAAGCCTAACCTTTTTATTTTTTACGCTTGCAAAACGTTTTCTCCGAGCAGAGTGACTATGAATCGAGCTGATCTGAGCACTCGTCGAACAGTTTTAAGTGAAACTGGACTAGAAAACGTTTCAGTAAATTCCGTAGAAATCTTTAAAACACTCAAACATGTATTTTTCACAGATTTTCTAACTACAAATCTCTGGTCACAATGAGTCACGTCGAGTCCTCTTTGCCAGACAACCTCTTCTTACTTTATTTTGGATCCGATTTTTTTCTTTAAAACATGTTATCACATACTACACTGTATAATAGGATAAAGTTACTAATTTAGCGACATTCCGGATCGAATTCGCATCCTTATGATAAAAAGTTTTCAAACTTTGAATGCTGTTCGCTGTTTTCTTTCGACTACGAGCCATCTTTAAACATTAAATAAAATATAACGAAGTAAGCAAACAAAACATAAAGGCAAACAATTTTTTAAACGTTACGAAAATACAAAAACTGAAACAAAATAAGTAGACGATAATTTCATTTATGAAATTTTGCGAAGCGTTTCGGTGTATGATCACTTTTTTAGCGTGTTTTATCTATGCGTGCTTACATTTTCAATTTTTGAAAAAGAAAATTTAAACTTTGAATACATTTTTATTTTAGAAAATTAAGTTTGGTTTCATTCAAAGTCACATGGACATGATATGAAAAAATATTGAGCTTTATATTATAATTCAGTTCTGGGCTACAGCGCTTTTTCTGTAAATTCTTTAAGTGTACGAACACTTTTGTGAGACACTCTATTTGTGTTTCTAGTTTCTGTTTGACCGTTTGAATAAATTTTTGTTGAAAAATTAAGAAAGGAACTTAAGCATTCAAAATTTGAGTAGAAAATTAAAACTACTGACAGCACTTAATATAATTTTAAAATTTAATAATTAATTTAAACAATTTTAATAGAGGTAGCCATATGCTGTTATCATCTTTCTTTTTCAATATTTTTAGACTATATTTTTTATGAAAGATTACCAATAAAACATTTATTAGTTAACTACATTAATTTAAAATTCTATTAACTGCTATACCTAGCACTGTTTTTTTATTCATTTTCAGTTTTTGAATTCTTAAATTTCTTTTTTTATAAAAATTTTATTAGTTAATTCAAAAATATGAAATATATAAGAAAAAATATTCCTCATTACCTCTTACGCTCACAAACCATTATGCTAATATGCGAATTTCTAAAGCTGAAAACTCATGTCTGCAGTGTTATCGTCATGTAGTGGTTTGCAGGTGCTGTATTTTTGCCGACAATGTTTTAAAACTGCTATATTTTTTATCACGATGTTTTGAACCACGATGCTTTAAAACTGCGATATTTTCTCCTTGCTTTCGTTTTTTCCTACAATGTGTTTACAACGTTTTCGCCTTGCATTATTTTCTCCTCGACGTTTTCGTTCGCGATGTATCTACCGCGATGGTTTCAACGGATACCCATCTTAATTTACAAGAATCTAGCACTTCAAACCGAAACATGTTATGCGTTTTTGAAGGATCCGAAAATGTACCTCTGTTTATCAAAATTAAAATTGTTGACGAAATATCCGAAATTGCAGCATTTTGAGAGCGTTACAACACGGGATATATACCATTAAATGTAAATAAAAATGTCGAAGATGAATTAGTTGAAACTGCTCAGAATTATTATTTGTTGCTATTTAGAATATTAAAAGAACAATGGGGTTTCTTAATGCAAGACTGTTGATCAGAAAAATGTTTAATTTTAAATAATAAAATTATTAAAAAGTTAAAAATCAATTATTTAAAAACTTTTTAAGATTTAAAAATTAATTATTTATTGAATTTAAATATTGAATTTTAAAAGGTTTATTTCATTAGCAGTGTCATGAATTAGTCAGGGACTTAGAAGCTGCAGTTTTTGTAATAAATACCTATTCATATTACAGAAATTTAGGCATTAAAACAATGTGCTAAAAAAACTAATTTATAAACAATCACATTTTAACGCTTATATCACACATTTGATTAAATTAGTAACCTATCAAAAACGCGATATTTTCCTAACAGTTAGTAAGTAAATGTATTCTTCCTTATTTATTTAGCCCCTTTAGTATATGTTTATATTTAGGATTTTATATTTTTAATATATATAGAGAGAGATAGACAGATAAATAGATAAATTATTTCATATATATAATATGTGTGTGTGTTTCATATTTATCAGTTATATTTATTTATCTTTCCACACTATCATAATTGCTACGTAATATGTTTTGAAAAAACATAAAAACGCAAATTTTCATTAAAACTTGTAAAATTAGTGAATGTTTTTGCGTATATCAAAAGGTAATTATTTTAGATCAGTTTTATTCAATAAATGCTATTTTTATATTGCGGTATTTCATAATCTCGCATTCAAAGTTTTTATTAGTTTCGTACTTCAAAACGCTTTTATACAAATGTATTGTATCACAATGCAAATCAGATACCTTACTTCCATTCTATAGGATTAAGTATTCAAGTTACAGATTTGAAGAATAGCAAATAGTCTTTCTGCTATTACTAAATCATTAAAATTCTCATAATGCGTTACAAAATACAAATTAATTTAATGCATATATTTCTTAACAACGAGGGCAATATATCTTCTAAACAAAGTTCCGTTTTCTTCCGTTAATTAATTCCTAGAATTTCTAGATTTCATAATGAATTATTTTGCTCATCATCCGTATTTCTTTCATTCTATCAATCATAAAATGAAAACATTTCTCCTCGTGTTAATCTCTCGTTAATATGAATTTCAACACTAATTTTACAAAAGTAGTCTTTATAATTTGTATTCATATAAAATTAACATACTTTTTTTTATTTTAATCATACTACTCGCTAGCTTAGCCAGCAGCTTAAAGTAGTTATCTTAAAGAGAAAAAATATATAATGACTTTAAAGAGTCCAGCTGGTGTCATTTCATAAAATATTTAATTTCTCTAATTAGACATCTCATGATTTAAATGTAGTTTTATTTAAACCAATCGGATTAAACAGTAGAAAAAAATATTTTTAAGAACTACTTCTATTGCTTTGTTTGGTTTATTGCTAAATCTTAAATAGCTTAAATCTGATAATTGAATATCTTACACATTATTAAACAGCAATACGCTTGCGCAGCGAAGATAAAAGCATTTTATTTCGGGCAGTGGCAACACATTGCTTTTAAATAGTCGAATTTGTTGATTAAAATTAAAACATTAATTAATATCTTACATTTTGCCAGAAGGCGTGCTGTCTGGCAAGTTGAAGGGGGAAATGTTTTATTTCGAAAAGTGTTTCCAATGCTCGATTTCAAATAGGAGTTTGCTAATCAAAAATTCATAAAATTCTTGCAAAATACGAAATAAATCTAAAACTAATTCGACGCTGAAAATTCGGGCTTCGAGGTGCACATGTTCGAGTATTCAGAATTTGATAACTTTAGGTGTCGCCGTTTTTTCGAAATAAGAGGAAAATACAGACATGCATATAAACAGATTCTTCACTATTTAATAGTAGAGTAGATATGAAGTGTTAGTGATTAACATAAAGGGAACAAAGAGTAACATAAAGGTAAAAATTGCAACTATTTAAAACAATGGACGCGAGAAAATTCGATATAAATTGTGAAATATCTCTTTGCATACTAGAGTTAATGCTGAAAAGAATAAAAATATAAAAACTAAAACTATTTCTTTTAAAAATAATCTCGCATTCGAAACAAATAAACTCTGTTCGTTAACGCTGACATGTCAACCTTTCATACCGTCGCATTAAAGAAATTCAAAGAAGGGGAGGGAATCAGAGTGAGCTTTTCTCGCATCCTTGCACATGATCAAATACAAATGGTGGGGTATGAAGTGAAGTTTTCCTTCCGCGGCAGCGCACTAAAGCCTCTCACTCGCCTCACAATGCAGTTTGCTTTTGCCAGACTATTGGCAGGGTGCTCGTGACGTCAGCCTTTCCTGCCCTCCTTCCCTCTGACTGTCGCTATGGAGACGACTAATGTAAATCCAATTTCGATCGACCAAGAAGCCCCCGGTTTCGAATGCCCATGCTCAGAGTGAGAATCGCTGCCGACAGAGCTCTGCGCAAGAACGCTATGAGAAGCGGTCGAAAATTCCGATCTATCCGTCAGGTGCGCTGCTCGGGATGGTTCCGGATGTGTCTGTGATGGGCGCGAGGAGGATAGACTGTGGCGTTGGTACGATGCCGTGGATCCTTGGAGTGGTTCTTTAGGTCGGTTACTCAGGACAATTTTGATCCTTCGGAACGACGATAGTGTTGAGTTGCTCTGGCTTCTCGTGAGGAGTGTGCTGTGTGCAGCACCGCAGCAACCATGGGGACCGTACTCAGCTTCTCCCCTAGGGAGAGGAAGCCCACTTATGGGGAGTACAACCTGAATAACTATAATTATGAGCAACTAAATAATGCAAAAAATAAGGACAAAAGCGGAGGAACGGAGAAGAGTAACGCTAATAATAACAACCAGAATCACCATCACAGCGCCCACCATCACAATTTCAAGAAACATTCGTTGTTCATCAATGCCCTTAGTTGGAAGCACTTCACTGTGTCCAGCAAGAAAAAACAGGAGAAAAGTAAGAATATCCGACAACCCTTGGACAGTATCCATTCCATCGTTGATAATAATAAGAACATTCAGAACTCTCTTTCCTGCTTCAATGTCAAACCAGGGCTCGGGCAACTGGATGTGGTAGTCCGGAACAACAACAATCTTGACAATGCTAACAAACTGAAACCTGCACCCCCTCCACTGCCACCAAAGCCTGCCATCCTAACTGCTCACAATCTGGTCAGGCCATCAAATCATGGCGCCATCGGGCCTTTGGCTTTCACGTCCAGTTGCGGGGCCGGATTGTCCAACAAAGCAGTCCTCAGCAACAGCGCGTCCGTACCATCGGCAAGTGTCAATGCCAACAATGTCGCGCCAAGCCCCCACAAGAAGACAGTCATCCAAGCATCCACTTCGGAACTGCTGCGATGTCTTGGGGAGTTCCTGAACAGGCGCTGCAGGAAGCTGAAAGATTTCCACCCAACAGATGCAGTGATGTGGTTGCGAACTGTGGACAGAAGCCTTTTGATGCAAGGATGGCAAGACATCGCTTTCATCAACCCGGCCAATGTCGTCTTCTTGTACATGCTAGTGAGAGACCTGGTTGGAGAGGATATTGAAACGGAGCGTGAGCTTCAAGCTGTGGTCCTGACGTGTCTCTACTTAAGCTACTCTTACATGGGCAACGAAATCTCGTACCCCTTGAAACCATTCCTTGTTGAGGATTCCAAGGAGAAATTCTGGGATCGATGTCTTCTCATCATCAATCTCCTGAGCGGGAAGATGCTACGAATCAACAGTGAGCCGAGTTTTTTCACCGAAGTTTTCACCGAGTTGAAAGGTTGTTGTTCTATGACTGCGTAGCGATGACGTAGAACTAGTCAATATTTTTCATGTTAATACGAATATAACGAATTGCACTGGGAAACGGACAGTGATAATAACTTCATCTTAATCTAAATATTTATGTCATCGTCAATCATGACCTGAAATGGAGACTAAGTGACGAAGGATAAATTTAATTTCGATTGAATCAGGTAAATAGTTGAAATCATTTAAAATTAAGTTTAAACATTAATCCTATCTGCAAATATTAAAAATTTTATAGAAAGATTTTTTTTAATGCACTGAACTGTTGATTTGATAAAACTGTGACAGTTGCAGTGTTACTTCCTAAATATATTTTCCTTTGTTTAATATCGAATCTATGGTACTTCCCTGTTCTAATTAAGCCTAAAACTTTTAAATGAAATCTAAACTCTTATTAGGAAAAGCGCTAACTTTGAGATTTTGAAGCAGTTTGTATATCCGTAAACACAGATGTAAGTTTTGTAATCAAAAATTATTTGAAATGCTGATTAACTTTATAATAGTTTTCTTAGAATATAAACGAATTTTCAAAGTTATAAAAGAATTTTAGCTTAAAAATTGCAGGCCTGCGAAATTATTTGGTATTTAATAGTTTAATCGTACATTTAATAATTCTGATGTAAGATATAGTCACATAAAATTAAGCTGATTAGTCTGGCGGAAAACTTAAACATGAAGTAGAAAATATTTTGGTACTGAACAGATCTTCCATTAGCAGGTAACTGAAGAAATAAATGCTTTTTGTTAAAATACTGAAAACGTTGAGAGAAAAAATCCTGCAGACAGTAAGGTATAATATTTATTGATTTGGATAGCTTCGAACTGTATTTAGACATTTGGTTTTTTTTAACCAGAAACGGAAGTACAGCAATGGCGGCTGGTATTGATTTTCTGGAAGAGACGCGTGGTAATCTACACCATATTAGATGTTTCTTTTCCTACTGTGCTACTTTTGAGCTTCTAAGAACTGCTGCTGTGTAAGCACCAGCAAATTTTCGACAACCTTTTGCAGGAAATGGAGTAACGATTCGAATAGTCAGTTTAACTAATTAAGGTTTCAAACCACTTGAAGCATAATAGGAAAAATTTAACATAATCCAATATATATTAGATGTCAAGCAATCCTAGAGCAAAATATAATCGCAAAATTCTTCGATTAGATTAAGATCCAATGAGTTTTGTAAACTATATTTTTATTTATTGGCCGCGTACTAACATATCTAATAGTTTTAAATGCTAATTCTCTAATTCTAAATTTTGTTACTATTTCCCTCGTAAATCTGCTCATTTATAATTATCTCACATTAGTGTATTTCTTTTAGCATTAATATATGACCATACTGGCTGCTTTAAGCTGTGGGTTCGTTTTAATTAAATTAGTATTTATTATCTATCAAGGCTTAAAATTGATATATCTAGAATCGCACAAGGTTTTATATTATATACCTCAAATATATTATACAATACATATATATATTTGTTAATGAAAGATGTTTTATTAAGTAATATCAGACATCAATGGCATAAATATAATTTAAAACTAAATATTAAACACGTTCAGACTGTGTACAAGTATAAAAGCAGAGAGCAAAGTTGTTTGCATAACATTATATTAGCTTTTTAGATACATCTCCTAGTTAAGAAGTATCATTTGAAGTTGAGGTGATAAAAAATAAAAAAAGAACAGAAACTTTTTGTTAAGGTATAAATAAAACTAAAAATTAATGTATATATATATAGAGAGAGAAAGAAGTTAATACAGATATGTGAAAGGTATGAAAACTTTCAAAATCTCTTCAGATTCAATTAAAATCGTAATCAAAATTGTGCGTGATACTTGAACTACATGGAATGTGTCTAAACATTCTGCATAAAGAAATTGAAATTGCTTTCTGAGGAAAATCTTGCAGTAAAAAAGAAAAGAAAATTCAAAATAATACATTTATTTATATTGCCAAAAACCATTTTTATAAAAATATTTCAATGTCCAGTATAGCTCCTTAAAATCAAACTTCGTAAGGCTATTAAATAATTATAAACAAAAGGCTAACGCCATCCTTCAAATCTTAAACGCAAAGTAAAATATCCACATTTGATCAACTGAAGTTGATATTAAAAGTTCATTGAATAAATAAGAACTCATTAATATTCATAAAATTAATGATGATAATTAAAAAAGAAAAATTGAAGAAATGTTTGATACATACCGGAAAGCAAACTGTTATCCTTTGTAATTACTTATTTTTTGCTGTATAAAATATGTTAAATTATTCAAACAGCATCAATCATAAATAAGGAATTAATTGTGAATCAATAACAGATTAGATATCAATTGAAAAATATATTAATTTTTAGAATATTAAATAATATAAATTTTGTGTAGAAATGTATAAGCAAAATATTAATTTCTAGATAATACATTCTTATTAATCGCTAATACCGCTAGACTATTTATTATTCACGACAAAATTAAATACTAATTTAATGAAAATACGCAGATCTAATTAATTTAAAATGAATACGCAGATCTGTCTAAGGTTTCTAAAGTTTTCCAATCAATAAGATAAAGTTTAGGATTAATTCAACTATAAATATTACTTAATTGCATGTAAAAACAGCATTTATTTGGGTGTAATGTTACTCCTAAGTTTTAAAAATGTAAAATATTTTTCTTTTCAAGGTCTCATACATATTTTAATTAATGAAATACTGGGAATCAACTGGTTTCAACTGGTTTTAAGACACCCATTAAAACATTTATCATATTTGATCATTAAAACAAATCCTAAAAAGGAAATATAAACACTTACTTTTTTAATTTCATATTACATGAAGATTAATTACTTAAATTTAAATTAAGCTCTTTAATCAATAGTTTGAGACCAAACTCAGCTGGAGAACTTGCATAGCGGTTGTTTGATCAGAAATAAACCTACGCCTATGTGAATGTTTCTCTGCGATAGAGCTTCCAAAGCAGGAAAACTGCTTTTAAAGGTAAATAAATTCTGAAAATGGTTAAATAAGGAAGAATTGGCGGTAGTTTCTTACAATACTTAGTACAACACTTAACACTACAACGATAGAGAAATACAATACTTAGGAAATACATAAAATTAGGAACTGAGAAAAAATCAGCTGCTAAATTATTATTGATAGGCTATACGAAATAACAAAAAATTAACATTTTGAAATCCTAATATCACAGCATATTGAGAAATGCTGGTAAATAGTTACAAGGCATCTTGGTAAGATTAAAAACAAAGCTTTGGTATGTTTTTCTAATAGATACAAAAGGTGACTGGAAAGAAAAGTGTATCATTCTTTAATTCGGTAATGGGAATTTTGGAATTTCCGGTGATATGTGTGAGGCGTTCTTCTATTCTGAGCTAACATCTTGATCTAATATATTTCAGTATTTCAAGGCATACAGTAGCTTTTAGTATATGTTATTAGACAGCAGAAGGCACTGTGTAATTCTCTTTCAAATCGAGTAAAGCCAAAACAGAAATCTACAAAATATTTACCACCAGGTTAAGGAATTGTACTATCGCCTGTAGTTTGGATGGAGGACTTCTCCAATTTTTTAAAATTATCCATATTTTTATATGAAAGTTGTAAACCTTGTACTGTATCATAGGCGTATTACTTTTAAGACCATGCACATTTCTACAAATAGTTTACATAGTCAGATATCTGTGAATATTCACCAATATTTTCGGTCACTCTTAAATATAAACTTGCAAAAATTTGAAACTGAATTTAACCTTTTGTCATTGTAATATAGTAAATTTTTATAACGTATTTAAGTTTGAATGAAATATACACATATTTATGCTCCACACTTAATCATCTCATCCTTATTTATTTGTACGTAAGTGAAAAACATTAACGGGTTACTAAAATTATGTATATTTATTTTATCATTACTAACGCAGACATGATACTGATTTTAAAAGCAAAGCAAATATAGAGAGAAATACTGTAAATTAATACCGCGAATTAGAATAACTCCAATTTTTATTTAAGTACATTTAAAAAGTAAACTTTCTTATATTACAGCCACTGTTAATTGCATAAATATACATTTTGATAGCATAAAAATATTCCACAATTCCCCAAAATATTTTAATACAGAAATTTGCCAACGATGGTGACGTAATATTTTTGGCTGTCAAAACTTTTTTGAGATTTCATATGGCTTTGTAAAGCTAATTCAGCAGCTAATTTTCCCATTCTTAATAGAAGCGTTAATGATTACAAATTATACGTTAATGATTACAAAAGTTTTAGGAAATTATGTAATTTGTCACCTAAAAATGTTTCCTTACAGGTACATCGTTTTTCGAGGTTGAAACGTTACTCTAAAGCAATAATTCCTTACTTTCATGGCATAATTCACTGCATTAGATTCAGATTATAATAAGCTAAGGAATAATATAAATAGCAATTAAATTAATTTTGTCAGTATCTCTATGAAAACAAATTAATATGTATTTATTAATGCTTACATAATAATTATTGTTTTACAATTTAAATAGTTAGTTGAAACATCAATCAAAATTAAATCGTCTCCCATGACCTTCTCATTCAGTCTTTCAATTCTTTCAGTTAGCTTATAACTATTTTGATCTTCTAAACTTTAGAAGCTAGTCATCATTTTGTAGCACTGATACTGATTATATGAGATCAGAAAGACTCAGTACAGTAAACGATGTATATATAACAAGCTAATACATTTAGAATGTGTCTAAGTAGTATTTAAATGTATTGCTTAGACATCCTGGAATACTGCGGCAAGTTACCTAAAGTTTAAGGAGAATAATAAGTCTTTAACATGAGACAAAGAAATTTATAAAATATAATTTTTATCAGATTGCACTAAAGTTTGATTTATACATCAGACTAGGCTCTGAGTGAATCCTCTTTCACATCGTTGAATCTTTCAATGTAAAGGAAGGAGATTCATCGCATTGGATAACTAGAAATAATTTCAATCTCAGCTCCAAAATTCTAGGGAGTTTAAAAAATCTAAAAACAGAACATTCTAAAGCCTATGACTATTGTGGAAAACGTTTAATAGATTAGATGTACGAGTAGAATTAAATATATCTAGGTAAAGAGATAAAAGTGTACTGTTCATGGAAACATTTTTAGGAAGAAAAAAGATTAAGATTTAAATCTGTGTGTCAGGTGTTGTTCTGAGACTTATTTTCTAAACCTTAAATATTCCAAAGTGAATTTTCTGAACTGAAATCTAATCTAGAACATGTCGGATAATACATAAGAATGTTAAATATAGGAAATATCTGAAATTTGTAGAGTTATTCAGGTTTAGATATAAATGACTATAGTTACCCTATCAAGTCATCAAATGGGCCAGATCTGTTCGTCCTTTAATATTTTTAAAACAAAATCGTTAGGAAAATACTGCGTAAAATTGAAGTCAATGTATGCAAACTGTATATGAGTGCGGGGAGGATATTACAGAACTAGGTAATATAAGCAGGCTAAATCAAATGAAGCCTTAATTTAGCTCAAAGTCGACGTAAACTAAATTATTTTAAAATGAATGACCAATGCTGGGAACGTTAAGACGCAATATTTTCTTAAATTAATAATTTCAGAAATCCGCTTTTTAAAATTAATTATTATAAATTTGTACATTTATGGAAATTTTCGAATTTTCGGGTTTAAAAAATCCAAAAAAATATACCAAACGTTAAAAAATTGACAATAATTCTATAAAAATGTTAAACTTAGAGGAACTATTAAATAAAAGAATACTTGAGAAAAGTTTTCTCATTTTTCTTGTAAACTTTCATTATAATTTTAACAGCAATTCAAATGACATATTTGCAAAAATAAGGTAAGGAAATAAACGTCATTGCGTAAGTAAAAAATATTACAAATATTTATTCAACTCATTCACAATGTAAATAATAACACAAAAGTGAGTACGAAATTTTCAATTCATTAAAAAAATAACAATTGCTATGCAAAGGTCTTTCCATTGTTATTTTGATACTACCACAGCCTATTGTTTATTCGAAGAAGTAGTAGTTATATCTCAACTTCGGTAAATTATTCTTTAGGGGATTTTATTTATTTATTAATTTATTTATATTGTATTTATTTATTTATTTATTGTATCCTGACATCAGCATTCATTTGAACTGATTAAATATTAATTTTCTCATCAGTTTGTAGCAAATATGTAAATGGTAACCATATATGGACATTCTATTCTGTATTCTAATGCCAGTTTCTTAATAAGTATTGTCCATCGTGCTTTGTACAAAACAAAAAGTGTGTTTATAAAATGTACTCTTAGTAATTACTAGAAAGCGCCGGCAAAACGTGCAATATGAAAGAATTCGGAAGTACCTCAAAGCCAGGTTCTGGATTCTGTGTAAAATAAAATGATACTACCTTTGTACTGTTTCGAATGTCCATTCAGTGTACACCATAAAGACCGCAAAATAAAAATATTCATATGAACTGAAAAATGTTAAATAAATAATATATTAAGTTTTATTTATAAATGTGAATTACTCACTAGCCAAGTCATGATTAGAGTGCTTCTTATGAGTTGACTTAAAAATTTAATTTCTGCTTTATGTCAACTTGACAATGAAGAACACTCACTTCTTTATGATGTTTGAATTAAATAATATCATAAGGATTACTCTCAAGGCCCTGATTTCGATTACATGTGCTTTTTGTTTTATATTTCTCGAGTATTTTCCTCTTTTGAAACATTTTTGAACTCCCCTTTACTAAGTAGGCATATCCTATCCACAGGAAACCTATTACGTAATCTGTCAGTCATCTCTATCACTGCAAGTTTTTTCCACAAGATATGAATATCACTTTTAAGAATTTTTCCGTATCGGCATTTCTTCGCTATTATCCCATTTTGTCCATGTTCGAAAAGGATTACATGCAGAAAGGGAAAACCTACTCCACCGACACATTCTTAGAAATATACACTCAGAGCTACTTGCAGTACGCTTTCCTAGCTCACTAAAATACCCTTTATTTCCTTTTTTGGCTCAGCTGGTATAGTCTTACGGCTGTAAGTTGGATTAATGACCTTCGACGTTTCCAGTTTTGAAACGAGACTGTAGGATAAAGAGACTGTATGCTTCTCTAAGTAAAGTATATGTTGAAAGAAGCTATTTTCGATGTGAAAAAGTATATTCTGACAACAGATTTCACTTTTGAAACATCAAGAAGCACGTATAAGTCAGCGCAATTCTAAAACATTTATTTAAAGTTTAAACTTTGGAAGAAAAAGATAAAATTCAAATGATGGATAGGTGTCACTAAGTGAATTTTAATCCATTTGCCAATGCTTATCAATTGTGTCATTTTTATATCATTTTTTAAGCTTATTTTCCCCAGTTTATGTGTTTTTCCAAACATCTTTAAGGGCATTTACAGTGAATGTTTAGGTTATCGAAATCCGGGCTTTTGTTGTCATATTCAGCTTGTTTCTATTTATAAATTTGCATCAAAATTTAATTATTTTCATTAATTGTTTTTAAGATGAAATTATATTTTATATACTTCTTTGTGCGTGAATAAATTTTAGAAGTCGTTGTGAAGCTGACTTCATAATGTTTATTTAACATTTTGGAAGTGTACATACATGCATAGAAAATAAATTTTGAAAAACATTTCAAAATTTGTTAACCTTATTTTCAGTAAAAATTTTAGGAATAAATCCTTCCAAATGAATGTTTGTAATTAAAGTCGAGAATTTAAAAGGGCATTTAATGTTTATAAATCTAATGGAAATGAAATATAATAAAGGAAATGCAATTGAGAGAAATACATTTTAGTTACAAGTGTTTTGAACTATATTGTATTTTTATCAGGCTATAGCTATTAATGACCTCAAATCCTAACAAAAGCTGGGATTTAAATACATTCAAGAGTTCTTCCATACATTCCTTAATTTTATTTAGATGTTTCATGTTCAGATTAAAGTGTTTTATCGTAGTTATAAAATCTTTAAATTCTGAAATATTAAAAAGAGTATTTTTATGCTACTGTGATACTCTTATTTTGTAAATAGCAAAGGTATTACTGTTGCAAACGTTGAGTTTCCTTCTTTTCTGCTGATACCCGTGAAAATTCCTCAGCTTTTATTTATCTTAAATACAGTGAACAAGGAAAAAGTGATTTTTTGCTATTCTGTAGTGTAGTGAGTTTTGTACGGTGAAAGTGAACTCTGTATTTATGTGAACTTTGAGAGAATGAGTAATACAATTGTAATTAAGTAGGTGTCTTTTTTCCTTTCATCTTGCTGTGTAATTATGACGTCTGTGTTTTGAAATTTAAAAAATTGTTGAACTGTTAAATTTTATTGTGGAATGAAAACAATACAAATGTAACATAGTTGATACTCAGTAAAAACAAAAAGTAATTACACCATAGCACCTTCGCATGAAATTTCACTGTAAAACTTCCTGCAATGGAAAATTAAATTAAAGAAAATTAAGTAATTTATATTTAAGAATAGTAAATTTAATAATACCTAATTATGATAGTTTTTCTTGATTACATGGGAAAACAATCAAGTCATGTACATTTGATATTTGTAATTAAAACTTTAAATATCTGACTCTACGATAATTTTCGTTAATCCTTAAGAATTGCGTACGTTATTTGACCTTGACTTCATGATTCGACTTTGACGTAATGGGCATCCCGCCACTAGATGAAAATAAATATAAAAGTTTTATTAGTTACGTTTTTATCTCCTTCTAAAAACTGGAGAAGTCTGAAACATTTTCCAGTTATTAATTACTTTAGCAAATATTTAAAAATGAAAAATAATAGTTATAAAGTAAATACATTATTTAAGCTTTAAACTTAAGAGATACATTTTCCTTATTATATTCAATATGTTATAAAATGTTTTTTGCCTCTAGAAATTATTAAAACTTTTCTGAAGTTTTAATAATTTCTAGATAATAAGTAACAACTAATAAATCAGAAAGCAAAAAATTCCTTTCTGATTTATTAGTTGTTACTTATAATTCATGATTACTAATATTTGAAATTTACTAAATGAATTTTTCATATTTTACCACAAAATAAATTGCTAAGTTAGTGGATATACAGTCGAATGCCATTATAACGAATCCAGCTTATAATGAGCTTATAATGAGCACCGGGATATAACGAACAAATCTTTTTCGTACTGTTCAATTTATTGAAACTTAATATTACTTTATACGAACCTTCAGAGGTCTGATATAACCAACTGTTCGATATAACAAAATCCGATATAACCAACTGGATGGATATCTTCGACTGAAATTTTTTGAGTGCTTTCACATGTTTTTCCAAAATTTCCGCAAGTTTAAACGAAAAATTTACTAAACCTTAATTTCATACACGTTCATTCGTAAAGTAATCTACATTCCATTCATAAAGGAAAATATTCCACATTCCATTCATAAAGGAAAATATTCCACATTCATAAAGGAAAAACAGGATCCACATTCCATTCGTAAAGGAAAACCCTTTTACATGACTTATTTCAACTTCACCATCATTTTTCTCTGTGCTCTAAACAAAGGCTATGTAAGACAGGTGTGAACCAAACGTTACGAGAAAAACGAGGGCAAAATAAGCATATCTTAGTACACATATGGTCTTAGTGACCATTGAACTTGAATAGGCATAAAACGAACTTTAACGTGAATGGGCTCTTTGAATCTATTCAACTCTGAGACAGAGCTGATATATTTAAGTCTGATGGATATTTTAAAATTTTTGCTATTCAGGGAAAGAGGAAATAACAAATTATATGAGCTTTGGGGTATGCAGTTGATACCTCTTCTAGGGAATAAAAGTTTGCTTTCCAAAGACAGATAAAATTTTCCCACGGTCTGCATCTCGCCAGGAAAAATATGTAGGTTTTCTTTTTGTACTTGGAAACTAGAGTTAAAGTTCTGCAGACCATACTAGACAATTAACGACTTATCACTACGTCCTAAACAACTCGCAAAATGTTGAAGAAGATTAAAATATCCATTTTGCATTGAGTATTAATGTAACAGAACAGGCACAACTTGTGCTGTAGATAAAACGTCCGCCACTTGTCGTTTTTAAACTTAACTTTACAATTAAATTCAAAAGTTGATAACGTAATCTGAGATTACACATAAAACAGGCTAAAAATACGTTAGTTCAGATATTTTACCCTTGAATATTTGAAACATCGGCTAGGGAGAATGCTAAAGTCGTAATATTACTTTTAACAAGAGCTGGTGAGAAGACTGACAGTAAGACGCCTTTGCCAGAAACTCTAATCTTCAAAGCTTTCAGCTTAAAGACGCAACCTAATTTGCATTCTAGTGAGGAATGAGGAAAAGAGAACTTAAAGTAAAGCCTTAAATTGCAATAATTGGTTAGTAAATATAAGCTACTTTATAAATTACATATTATTTCTGTTCTCAGAAGTTAAGTAAGAGTTAAATTTGTCAATACTTTTGTTATTCATATTTAGGGTTTTTATATCATTGTTGATATAAAATCAATGTTATAAATGAGTATTTGGAGAGAAGAATTATATTAATGATATTTATTCTAAGTAATTTATCGTGTAAAATTATAAATACATAATGAAAGCGGAAAAGAACTAGGATAAGTTTAATAACGGTGCATGATAATTATTGAAATTAAAT